GAAAATAAATAGGGTGGAAGCCTCTTTTGTGGTCTGTTCTCTTTATATTTGCCTGCTGGAACAAGATCTTTTTTTTTTTCCCCCACTTAGTGAGGAATCTCCTCTCATCACCTGCATCTCCTGAAATCTTACCCTCTGCGAATAAAAACGACTATATTTTTATTTTATGTAAGATGACATCCTGATTTAAGAGAGGCACAAATGCAGAGCAAAATGCAATGAGACACAAGATTGTGGACCGAGTCCAAAACTCTCTCTGGAAAACCCTAGGTGTGTCCTCCAAATTATATTTCAGAGGTGAAGTATCAGATGTTGCTGTAATGAAAAATGTTTCACAGGATAATGGACAACTTCAATGTAATGAATCAAGGAAAATAAAACAACTAAATACTGACTATGCATTAGAATTAGTGATTTGGTCTGTTAAGCAAAAAACCCCAAAAAACATGCCACTATGTACATTCTCTTGTAAATGTCAAAAGCATGGAAATTTTAAGGATGATTCCATGACTGACTACACACATTATGGGAGAGTGGGAGTACTACCTAGTGAACGCAAGAACTGTCCTGCTGGCTAGATGGGTCAGCTAGCAGCTGCCTACTGTCCTCCCCTCTGTGCCTGCTTTCAGCAAAGTCACATGCTGAGCTGACTGAACCCTTTTCGTCTTCCATCTAGAAGGACAGAAAAGCAACAAGTCTTATAAAGCACCACATTCAGGTTAATTTACAAAACACAGTAATCACTTTTACACTAATCTGTAAAACTACTTGACATGTTCTCGATAGAACAATGCCCATTTGCTTATGTGGAAGAAAAGAGATGTGCAGAAGTTGTCGTCATCAGCAACGCCATGCAAATCATGAATGATTTAATCGGAGCATAGAAATGTTACCATAGAATATAATTTGTGAACGACCTTTACTGGTGCGCAGAGGTATTTATGGGGAAGGGTAGGCTCTGGTTGAGTTACACTGGGGACAGAATGGGACCCGTTTCTGGCCCCAGGCTCTGTTGTGGGAGCTGCCAACTAGAACCAAATGTGACTATAATTAAGGAGAGGAATCACAACGAGGCAGTAATTAGAACAAAATGAGTTTGGACTGGAATTGGTATGAAGAGCCATGTTCTCCAGCCTTTAGAGGGAGAGTGCCAGGAAAAGCAGGAGTGCACGGAGGTGGGAGAAAAGTAAGGAGCAGCGACTGAGTTAAGGGGAGAAGCTGAGACTAGATGTGGGTAATTTTGGTGGACAGGAGATCCACTTTGGCAGAACTAGTAAGATCTGATGGAATAAATCCCTTCTGCTGCACATTGTTTTGGAACCTCGCCTACAATCCCCTAAAATAAAAACTTGAAAGCGAGTTGCAGGCAAGTGAGACCCCAAAATACAGAGTAATTCTAATCCAGCCTGAGGTACTCCAGTAAAGGTACGAGTATATGGGAATATGCTTCTAATGGGGTACCTCAGGCTGAAATCAACCTGCATACCACACTCCTTTGTAAAAAATTCTAAAAGGACACCTACAGGAAAAATCTGCTGATGGGGACATCAGGCATCTAGCCACTTCCTCGCCGCTTTCCACCGTCATCCTGTCTGCCTTAAACTGACTGCTTCCTCTTAATTCTGATTCCTCACAGCATCTTTTTTTTTTTTAATGTAAAAAGTCTAAACAGGAATTTAGATGGGGAGAAAATTCTAATTCCAGTTAACCTTCTGGAACACAAGAACAGCGTTTCTCTTTCAGTGAGATGTGATGATCTTTGTGTCGGATGCTGTACTATATAATTAAAAATATAAACTAATGTGTTGTATGTACACAGTTATGAACCTACAAGGGCATAGAATCAATTTATTCCATAACACCACACACCTCATGTCATCTATATTATAAAAAATGTTGCCTTTTTGCAACCAACACAGCAGAGTAAAACAAGTTAATAGAACTCAGTTTTTCTATAGAACTCAACCTTTTCTAACAGAAAAAGTTGACACAAAACTGGGTTTGGCCTGCATCTATATTCCTTTCAATATGATTACTACACAATTAAGAAAACAATACGCTAATTCAAGTAGTGTATGGGAATATGTTGCTGAACACTGCAGACACAAAAAACGGGATTCAGTTAATCCTAGAGGGGCAATACGAATGAAGTGGGGTGGCAACTGCTATATAATTAACTGCTTACTGAACTGACTGTTCATTTCCAGATTTTTCCAATTTTTCATTTAGAATTTTTGTAAAAAAAAAAAGTTTATTTAAGAAGGGGATGAGGAGAGACCCATTGGACTTCACAGAAATTGTCTGCTGGCTTTAGTTGTTCCTAAATTAAGTATTTTGTTCAGGATAGATGGAGACTCTCTTAGAATAACAACAATGGGCATGATTACTCTTCCTCTTACTGGTCTACATCATGGTTTCACTTAGTAGTTAGCTACCAAGCTCCATCTGAAAACTTGGGAACTACTTCAAAGAAATCTGACTCACGCTTGACCAAGAGATGGCTCTTGAATGACAGCTATTTTGCGGCATCTCCAAATCTCCTTGGCCTTTGGAATAAGACAGCGAATCTAGCAATCAAATTCTTCTCTTGCATTGCATCGCAAAGGGATGGCAGTGTAACTATCCACATAAAATACCCTTAATTCACATGCTCTTTGCTATACTGTGGGTGCAAGAACCACCTGGCACCCCATACTGAAATCTGTTGTTTCAGTATTATACAATTTTGCTGAACTGACCAATGCCCTAAAGGAGTTTAATCTCATCTTGTGCAATTCAGTTCCTGTGCAATCCCCTGTGGACTTTATGCATGTAAGTAAAAAATGCTTGCACAGGAGGGCCATGTTCTTTTTTGCATTAAGAAATTCTGCTGTAGAAAGTGTGTCGTTTTAGTCATTTAACCAAAAAGGCTCATGTTTGCACATCGTTTACTTTAGCAGTACAATTACTACTGCACAAATGCTCCACGAATAACAGCTGCATTAAGTTGTCTTGCCATCTGTGAAACTGATGTTTCTAAACGTGGAAGTCGTCTAGCTTCAGGAGAAGACTTCAACTACTTTGTTTCGTATTACTTTGGCTGAACATACCCCTGGTTCTTACTTGCTCTACCTCGCAATGACAGAATGGATGTATATACATATATAAGGCCACCGCTGTTAGGCAAATACGTAACAGATTTAAGTGCTTAACTTTAGATGCCCAAGTTTAAAAACCTTGGCCTACATTAGAGCCAGCTTCATATAATCAGATACAAACTGACAAAAGTTTCTCCATTTTTCAGATACTTTCAGTTAATTATCTAGTATGAAGAAAATTACAGAATCACGGAATTTACAGATGTACTTGCAATTTATGTTATTAGAGTTTTATCACTGAAAAACATTCAAATGATACCTTTGCAGAGAGCTTTACATTTTTCTTAGTGTCTAGTAGTGTAACTGCAAAGCTGCTCAGTTTAAGAGAACTCATCACATACTGTTTATCCCCAAGGTCATAAATCCTTTCCTTTGGTACAGCCATGGAGTACATTCTCAAAGACATTCATGGTACTGATCCAGCATGAGCAAACAAGTTTTAATGAAAACATGACTTGAAAAAGGCAAAGTGCTTGTATGATATAGATGGGGCAACAATTTAAAAGTGAACTATAACTTTTTAGCTAAAAAAAAATAAAGACAAGTTGGTAAGATTACCAAAATGGAAAAGAGCATCTTGCCAATTTGCCTTCCTTTAAACATTAATTAGCATTGTATTTTCAGAGGATTACCTCTTCTGATGTTCAGATATCTGAGCTACAGCCTTCCTGTTGTTTCTGCTAGTAAGTCATATCAAAAGTACCATTCCTTGATAATAAACAAATAGAACGGAATAATTGTTTCACATTTCTTTTTGTGGTGATCTAACCCATGCTGGCAGAGTAACTACAAAGTATATAACTGATATACCTTAGGATTTGAGTCATGATTGTCTCAATTATCTGCTTAAAGTACAGCACTTGATACTTCCAAGGTCAGTTTCCTCTCTATAATTTTATCCTATTTTGAGGGATGAAAATTCATTCCTATAATCATTTGCAAACATCAGCTGAGCCTCAAATCTAAGCAAAACTGCAAAGAATAGAAAACCTGTGCCTTTAATTATCTGCTGCTGCAAAAGTGGGGCCCTGGATAAGACTGAGATGAAAATCTGATGCTTAAATCTTTGTTATAGGTCAGCTATGTTATCCTTGTGTATGCTTTATTCTTACAATTATAGATTTTAAGTACTATAGTATTTCACATACTTAGTATGGGTGCACTTGAAAAGTTTCAGCATTTTGGTATTTTACCTAGACAGACAAGCACACTTTAATCTCTTCCTGTACTTGATACCCAAACACCTCTGGAGACAGAAGACATTCATAATACATTAAAAAACAAAACAAAACACGACTCGCTTCATAGATGCACTGAACAGAAGCAAGAACGTTAAAAGCCTTAGTAGCTGCATAAGTACACACACACAAACCAAAAACATGTTCTCTGCACTTACAACACAAGTAAAAAGCAAATTAAAATGGGCAAACAACTTGCAAGAATTGGCTTCCTAACACACATGGACCTTCCTGCTGTGGCCTTATGAAGCTGAATTGTCCAACATGCAGAAAGCACTGTTAATTTTGACTACACATAAATCAAAAGCATTGGGAACCATGCTAAAAACTGATTATTTTTAACAAAGGATGCAAGGAGGACTAGGTTTATTGCCTTTACGTAAGTTGAGCATCATGCTAGGGTTTTTCCCCCTGTGAGAACGTCCAACACATGCTACTTAGGAGAAGCAACTGGCCTGAAACCACAGAGCAAAGCCAAGAAAGATGCCAAATAGAAAGAATCTGCACTATAGACATTGCCCTCTCAACCCACTAATATTCATGCCTCTTCCCATCTCTCTCAGTGCTGGTTAGTTGGCCTGCAGCATGCATAAGAGTTGATGAGGAACTGTCCCTCCTACTCTACCTAATTTTGCTCAGCTGATTCCTTGCCCTGGACAATGGCTGCAGTGCGATGAATTCGTCACTTAAAGCAACTCTGTTGGAGTACATCTATAAGTGGACAGAGAAGGGATGGAACACATATGTCAGTAAGAAGTAGCACTTTTCTAAGAGAAAGACACAGGACAGGTTTTTAGAGACATTCTGTTATTTAAGTGGAATATACATCATACACAGAACACGTGAGACTGATACCTACAGGATAGTTCCTGGTACCATCACTCTTTTATTCTTCATGGAGACCATGTTCCTTAATTTTTGTAGTGAGGGAAAAACCCCACATGCTGAGAATTCTTTTCCACACATCCCTATACTCTACCCTTACTCCTATACTACTATAATTTCTGGTATTTACCAAAAGATTTATATTTTGTTTGGGATTGTTCCACACTGGCTGTTTCTTCCTATGCGATCCCACGGTAGGACTGTAATGCAGAAGTTAGCTGGAATTATTCCCATGGCAACAGATTGAACTCAAACACAGAATTATGGATTTCACTGTAGGATCAGGCAGAAAGTAGTAGAACACAAAAACAACTATTACACACATTCACTCAGAGAACACCCAGGGAAAGCTTGTCCAAGTAGGAAAGTCAATCAAGTCGTTCTACAAATTATTTAGATAAATTCTTAATTTACGGGCCTTTCACAATGGAAAGGACTAGCTGTTGCTTATTCAGTAGTGTCCATTTATGATCTATTACCACATTCAATTTTAAGACAGAGTTAACTAAAACAGCATATAATTTTAGTGTGATTTGAGAAATACTAGTTTTAATATGCTATAATCTGAATTTCAGTTACTGTTATCTAAACTGTTGGGTTTTTTTTTTTGTTTTGTTTTTTTTTACAAGGCAAATGCACTGGAATTAGTTCAGGCTGATGTCAAGTGCAGTCACACTGCGAAGAGTGGACTTAAAATGGCAGCGCTGGGTTCCATATTTATAATTCTAATGGCTATCATACAAAAAATGCTTATCTTAGAAATCAAGATGCTTTTCTAACTGTCAACCTACCACCTTAACATGATAGCTGAAAAAAAAAAATCAAACGGTACTTTTCTGTGCTTTGAGAGGGATGGTAGAATTCTTTTTCTTTTTTGAAATAGGCATTTAATTAACACATCTAATGACATACAAATGTGAAAAGAATCCTGTGCTACATCAGTGACAATAAACCTAACAAGGTATTTCTTTACTGCATGAATGGTCCCATGAAATTTAATGGGACTGCTTCTAAAGCAAAAGGGCATCATTTGGCACTGTGCGACTGCTACGGGAATACTGCGTCCTGTTCCCGTGACTAAAGTTCAGGAAAGATGTTGAAAAATTGGGCAGAATACAGAGAAGAGCCAAAAGAATGATTAAAGGACTGGGATATATTTCCCTTATGGTGAACAACTTGAGGCACTCAAACAGTTTAGTTAACAAAAAGAAGGTTAAGGTGTGACTTGGTCACAGTCTGCATGTGCCCAAGCGGAGAACTGAAATTTGCTAATAGGGGGCTCTTCAAATCTCAGACAAAGGTACAGTATATAACAAGACCAACTAGATGGAAGGTCAAGTAGACAAACTGAGCCTAGGAATAAGGTACATATTTTTAAGTACTGGAACAATAAGTTGCAGTGGTTTCTCTATCACCAACATTTTTAAAAAGTAAGATTACATGTTTTTCTAAAGGTTATTCTCTAGTTTAAAAAAAATGAATTCAAAAAAGTCCTATTTGACCTGAGTTATACAGGGGATCACACTATATGGTCACAATCATCCTTATAAGCTGCAATTTTATGAAAATGCCACAGAGAGTTTTCTTCAACTCCATAACCCAGAGCCAAATAAACTCTTGGAACCTATGACAAAATTTTTACTAAGGGGAATGTCTTATCACCAGATGGTAAAGAAGAGAAAAAACATTTCAATCTTTTAATTTTGTAATATTTGATGTGAAACAGCTTTGAAAGCTGGATGCTAGCAACATTATTTTTAATTATTGCCCCCTATTATAGCACAACTATTCAAAAACATCACTGACACCTTTAGAGACCAAGTTTCAGGCTAGAAAAATAAGAATAAATGCAATTGCTAGCTTTAAAATAGCACACTGTGAAATGTGCGTCCTGGTATGTGGTTATAAAACAGACTGCTAAAGATGGAACAATTTTTGGTCTGTCAGGATAAATTCATAGGTTAGCTTTATTCAGAAATGATTTTTTTAGTTCAGGTACACAAGTTATTTAGAACTGATGACAACACTGAATAGGTGTGCATCCTATACAGTAATTATGTTATCAAACAAGAACACTTTTACATACTGAGGCATCATGGCTATTTAAGTTCTTGCCCAGGAAGTGATATTTAGAGAAAGACTAATTAGTCATCCATTTAAAGGACAATTTAATTAAAAAAGAACATTGTTATATATGTTGTATATAAAAAAAAAGAAGATTACCTGAGCTTTCTCAGTATTTGTTGGTTGTAGATGTCTAAACAGCACTTTCTTCATGACATCGAGAAACAAACAAGCAACGACTATGATGATTATGGCAAACCAAGCAGAACCACTTGATAGCAACTGAACAAATACAAAGTACATATCCTGGGTATGCAAAAATGGCCTGAAAAAAATTACCAAAGTAGCGATTAGAATAAAGCCAAGTAGTACAAAATAAACAAAACTAACACACATTTGTCCATTCATCCTTAGTTTATAAGTATGAGCTGGAGCACAGGGTTATAGCAACGGAACGTCCACCGAGAGGATCCATCTAACATGCATAACAGCTAGGAAGTGGGTGATAATGGTAGGGGAGGAGTGTGCCTAGTGCAGTTAGGGATCACACTATCCCTGCTGCAGGCCTAAGGAAAGGCTTCTTTAAAGTTCCTTATCTTAAAACTGCTCCCTAACAAAAAAACTGGAGAAAAGCGAAGTAGAAACATTGCCTTCCTGTGTATGATGGGTTCTGACTATATAACATGTTTCACCTATGCACATATATGATGTTTGCATATCTCTGTAGTAGCAGAAGTGATTCTTCTATAAAGGACATGATTAACAAAATTCTCCTTAAATATTCTAATTGTTAAACTGACATTATTTAAAGCAGGGCTGTCCAAATGGCAGCTCCCTGAGACCACTCCCCTCTTTTTTTTGATGCAGCTGCAGCTGAGGGCTCTGAGAGTATACACGCTTGCAACGCAGTGCCGGGTGCCTTTAAAAGTGCCTGGTGCTGCAGCATGTGCATCTGTATAAATGGTGAAATTTGTATAATTTGTATAAATGGCAAAATGTGCGTCAGTGCACAGAAAATGGAGATGGCACACTTTTGAACTAAAACACATAAAAAGTGTTTTAGTTCAAAAGTGCACCCCCGCCATTTTCTGTGCACTGATGCACATTTTGCTGTTTATAAAAATGCATGTGAGGCAGCACCAGACATGTCAGCTCACGTGTGGTTAATCGAGTCTGCTCCGAAGTGCTGCATCTCCAGCTCACTGGAGCAGACAAACGTGTATAAATGCCCTGAATTCCCTTGTCTCCAGCTTCTGCTTCTTGCCCCCGCTCATGGGAACAGGGCAACGCAGCAGGAGGTAGCCGGGTTGCCCATGCTGCACATGCAGCACGAAAAGGAGCATATATGTTTAGCGTAATGAACAGTAGGCATTTCTTCTTCTCTCCTACAACAAAATTAACAGCTGCAATGCTGTTAATTTGATAGCCAGAATGCAAGATGTACCTACTAAAACAATCTTCAACCTCCATCTTCTTCAATCACATGTTTAATATAATAACATATATACAGAGAGGTTAAAAAAAAAAAAGATTACTCACCAGATAATTCCCCCATAAAACAAGGAAAATAAGAAATAGAATACAATGGAGCCCCAGGTTACAAAATGGTTTATCCAAGTCCAGAAATGAGTCTCTAAAGCCATCTAAAAACACAAGCAGAACACATTAGCAATTTATATCTAAATAAACCACTTCTCTTCATTTACACAAAAAGCCACCATTGATTTAACATTATTAAATTTACTTTATTCTTTAACATCAACTCATTTTGAAAAGCCTGAAGCTGTAAAATGAAACTCCTAAGCCACGAGCAAAACTAACCACAAAAAATGGTCTACCCTAATTCCTGGAGAAATGTGAATTAAATATTCCTGTACTGATACAATTATGACATCCATTTGAAAGTATGCTAACTATTCGTCATGTGACTATTTCCCAAATGAGGGTAAGCTGTCTACTAACATACCTTAAATGTTACAGTTATAACCATAACTGTGAAGACCAAGGTACCAAAAGTCCAGTTTCCAAACATCTAAACAAAAGACAAAACAAAAGTCATTATAGAAAATCAGTTAATATCAATTGTAATAAAATCAGACCTTTCATAAATCTGTTCTAGTAATGAATCTACTCTTATAAGCATCCTGTGACTGATCACTAAGTACGGTAAGAAAAGCAAGGTTACGGCACAAACTACAGAGGGGAAAAAATATATCCTGTAAGAGTCCAGATTTACAGCACTAAAGAGGAATCTTCCTCCTTGGTTCAAAACACAAACCACCACAAATCTATAGTGGAAGATGAAATAAATTCAACAGTAAAATGAGGTGGAAGGAAAGTGAAGTCACCAATCAATTAATGCGTTAATATCCAACTAAACTGCATCTATCAGATGGCAGGTATTCCATTCAAAGTGAACATAACTGCTCAATAACAAACTTAAAACATTAAAGGGTATTTTAAAAAATGCAGCATCATTTGAGGGTTTCACATTTTCAAACAACAATCTGCAATTCAAAAATAATGGTGCTCTTATGCTTTTCAAGCAGCACATGACAGAAAAGACACTTTATTTCAAGGCTGACCATCTCAAAGTTTAATCTTATCACTCAAACACTTTGTGTCTACTGCTTTCTTCATTCCCTGTCCTCATATATGAAACTATCAGAACTCATAACAAGCTCTGCAGTGTTAAAATCCCAGCTCTAACAAGCAGAAATGGTGGGCTTGTCTCAACTGTGTACCTACATGCTGTACAAATATGTCACTCTTACTTTGCCTGCCTCCTCTGTTCTCATGAGCAAGCAGTGTGAAATTTAAGATGCTGGCCCAGAGCACTTAGATGTTGTACGACTGGCACACTAAATAGGTTTAGATGAAGTAAATTTCTTCTTCATCTACTTCTGGTAAATTTCAATACTGTTTCTAGGGTATCATTTACAAGGCAAGCGTGGAGACCACAGGGAAGAGAGGACATGGAGATAGATATGCAATAAAACTCATCCCCTTTGATAGTTTAATAAATCAATAAAGAAACTGGGATTAACGTGGCTGCAGCCCTTGTTAGAGAACTGACTTTCATTTTAAAAGAAGTGCGTGCATATCCCCACATTGCCATACTGCACATTTTCATGTTTTTTAGACAAGCAAGTAAAGTGGGTTTTCAGTGCGTTAACAATGAGACTGGCCTCAATGTGCAAGTTCAGTAGATAGTAGACCCTTGTTATTACTCAATGGCTTAAAAGCTAGTATGCCGATCAGTGTTTCAAAAAACAGTATACTAGTATTTAACTTGCAAACAAAAATTAAACCATTGCTATTACATGAATACCCCCTGAAAGAAAGCGTCTTAACTCATGCTACTCTACATGTTTGGTCAGCTGGAATATAAAATATGAACAGATTCTTGCAGCCATTTTATTTTTTAAAAAGAATGGATGCTGCATCCTTTGTGAAATACTGGATACAATATTTTGTATCACCTTCTCTTTTTCTAACAGAACTCTTACCATTTGCCTGTTAGGTTTCAATATCTGAAGACATGCACAGCGTGAAAAGGGGGAAAAAGAACTAAAAGATCACATTGAAGTACAGTGAAATGGTGCAAGGCAACTAAACCATAAACATATTTACGAATTCTACACCCTCTCTTATACCTTCTACTCTGCTTTGCTCCAAGAAGAAAAACCAGCATTAAGGACAAATTTATTCCTTGCCAGTCAAAATATTTAAGAGGCATAGGATTCTAGCAGACATTTATTTTTATATTAAAAACACTTAATAATTCATAGAGTAATAGGGTTGAAAAGGGCCCCAGGGGTGATCTGGTCCAAACCCCAGCACCAGTGCAGGAAAGCTACTCCTAAAGGACCCTTAAAATAAAAACAGACTTCAATTAACGCTGAAAATTAATGGTTTTTCACCTAACTGATTTTTCTTGCTATCATGAAGCTGCTAGCAGTCTAATACACTACCTATCATAGATATCCTACATGAGCACACTGTCTTGCCAGCTCCAGCAAGAATCCAGCACTAACGCAGACAGCCAAAATTTGACCTGCTCCATTTCGTGCTGTATTTAATTATGCTCCCATAATAAGCTTTTAGAAGACACTGAACTCATGCTCTGGATGTGATGAGCAATCAAAATAGACTATGAAAGCTCTGATTCTAACATGCCAATCTTTCAGCTAATTATATTTACGGAACTTAAAATAGCTAATTTACGTGCGATCAACACAAACCTGCTCCTTAAAACTCATATTTGCAAAACTGCTAGTCCAAATGTGCACAATATGTTCTGCTTTAAAACCTAACCATTTGTTATATTAAAGCGGTTTATTTTTTTTTTTTAGTACTGCAAAATTAAGCCACAGGTTTATTGTGGCTTAATACCAACAAGTCTGAATGAGACTGATTAGCTATCACACTGATAGTAAATTTAAGTGCCTTTACTATTAAAACAATTCAGCAAAAGCAAGGTTTCTCTGAATATACAAGCAGGAAGTCATGTTACAACAAAAGAAGAAACATATACAGCAGTTAGCAAAGCTCTTTAGCTCTGAGGCACAACTGCTTGATGGCTTAAACATCTCAAAAAGGGGATCGGCACCCTCACTAGCTGTATTGAACATTCACTTTTCAACAAGTACTCAAAGTTGCACTCAAGAGAGCAGGTAACACTGTTTTAAGACCTATTCAGCCTCCACAAGAGAAGACTGAGAGGGGATCTGGTGGCTGTCTATAAACTCACCAGGGGGAACCACCAGAAAATAGGTGAGGCTCTGTTCCCCCAGGGGGGGAACAAGGAATAACGGCCACAAACTGATTGAGAGCAGGTTCAGGCTTGATATCGGGAGGCATTACTTTACAGTTAGGGCTGCCAGGCTCTGGAATGGGCTCCTAAGGAAGGTGGAGCTCTCTTTTACCTTGGGGGTCTTCAAGAGGAGGTTGGATAGATATCTGGCTGGGGTATTATGATCCTAGCACTCGTTCCTGCCCAGGGCAGGGAGTCAGACTTGATCATCTGTTCAGGTCCCTTCCGACCCTAGAAACTATGAAACTCTCTGACTTTGACCACTGTCCATTCATTAGAAAAGAGATACTTTTTTGTTCAGAAAACTGGAGAAAGGTGGGCTCTTTCCATAAGACATCTACAGAAATAAGGGAACATTTGAAAATTCTTAAGCAGATGTCTTCTGCAAGCATGACTGCTGCAAATGGTAACTTTGCAGTTTGTTCTACTGAGGGCTGTGCTGCAATGGAGCGAATAGATTATGGCAGATATATAGAGAATATGGGACACAGTGACTAACCTGCCATCACTGGGAGCCTTCCTTTGGAAGTATCCAAACCCCCAAAACCCTTATGTTACAGAACCGAATTAAAAATGTATATCTCTAGAGAAGTTTACTTTTTGAAGCATTTATATAAAGGTAATGGTTGACAACCCCTCAAACCAAAATCATTCTTCTCTATATAACAGCATACAGGCAGGGGAAATGCATATTATTTCTGTGTTAGCCTAAATTGAGACTGCAATATAACCCACTAAACAGAAACAACAGCTTACATAGAATCTATGCTCATATATATTTTCATTACAGATTCTAAGACAAGCAGTCACCTTCACTGAAGTTATATATCACAGGGGAAAAAAATCCTTATACGATAACATATAGTCCTCTTGGCATTCACAATTTAACAATAAGGTGCGCAGACGAGAGTTGCACTGAAGTGAGGATAGCAGGTAATTAAATTGGGTGCTAAAATAAACAACTAGTCAATTAAACTGTACAATCCCTTGTAAATATATGTTGTACTTTGTGATTCTGAATCTTAGTTTCACAGAAGTAGCCACAACCATTAGCATTAAACATACTGTGAACTGCATGGTGTTGGAGGCATAGGAATAGTAAATTTCTATTGTAGGCCATGACACATTGACTGTGGGTTGATTACAGAGCACAGTTCCCTTCCCTTGTTTTTGTTGTGACAGCCAAAATACTAAAAAAACCCCCAAGAACTGATGTTAGGGGTTTGTTTAAAGATCATCCCATTCACAATATGTGAGGAAATTAAAAATGAGGAATGATGGCTGGAGCTCCTAACATTAAGTTAGGTGTGGGGACAATACCCCTTTAACTACAGACTCCCATCTCAGGGGAGGGCAAGCAGGGGATCTCAGCAACAGGCTTGGAGCAGATTTGGAGGTAAGAAGGGGTGCTGGGATTCTTTCAACAGGTGGAAACAATTAAAGAAGGAATGACAACCCTCACCATATGATTTACTGCCAAGTAGGTCTGAGATGAGTCAATAAACCTGTGGCTTAATTAAACTACAACCCCTTGCTTCCAATCTTTCTGGAGTTTTGAGGACAAATATATTGGTTCCCCATATCAAAATATATTCCACACCATACAAAAGGTTGCTAGATATTTTGGTACTGTTTAAGACACAAATGCTCATCCCAAATACCATATCTCATAACATACATAAGGTGGAAATCCAAGTATTTACTATAAAAACATACAGAAAAGCAGGACAGACTGCAGATGGAATCTGTAAAAAATGTTAAACTTTGAAGTTCCTGAAAGTGACCATTAGTAACCAAAAATTGTGAAGATCAAGGAATGCTATTGCTTTGACTTTACTATATATACTAAACAGTTTTTCTATGTTAACTTTTTTCTTGGTCTCTGGTTTGCATAGGAAAGAAATCTGTTATGCTATTAGTACATTTAAGAAATCAAAATACTTGTACTATAAAGTTCACGTTGGATACTGTGTTACATTAGCCATAACAAAAGCTACCGGGTTATATTAAAAATATATGTAAAGAAACAAGTGTGCAATACTGAGATAAAGAACTGAATCACTGCCTATTTTAGCTTTATAAGGGCAAAAAGAACTGGACACTAGCTACCTTAATTGGTTCAAGAAGTTCCAAACATCTTAGAGTTGTGGAACTGAGGAAACACTTTGGACAAACATAATTAATTTCATTTAGGTTTATTTTGGATTTTTTCTCTTTAAAAATCATAAAAAGAAATTTTGATCAAACGTATAATTTTTATGTGACTATCAAATGTACATATTGGAAAATTAATCTAGTTAAACAGCATATAAGTAAATGGTCTATGTTAATTAGTTTGCACAAACAAAACAGTAGTAATTAGATAGTGAATTCTGCATAAGGAAGAAAAATGTAGCAAATCAAAGAATCAGTGACAAATATTCTGAGGACTGTCCTCAAACTCTGGTTTTAAATATACCAAGTGTCAAGGTCCTTGTAAGTTGTCAAGAGAAACCAAAGTGCAACATCGCAGTTTTAAAAATTCAAAATATTGAGTTTTCTAAAAACAAATTCTGAGCCGAGCAAATAGCCATGAGCTCTCAACTGGATATCACTTACTTACTGCTCTTTGCTAAAAGAAAATGTTAGTCAAACAGAGCAGTGCACGTGCTGAAACCCCCCCCCCCCAGGTCTTTATGAACATTTGCTGTATGAAGGACTACTGTACAGGGCAAATCCTACATATCTAGAAAGTATACTGATTTTCAATAATTATTGTTAATTTTCAAGACGTTAAGTGTTTTACTACATTGGAAATAAGGTGACTAAAATCCTGTGTTATATGCAGGCATAAACTGATGAGAAATGATCATCATGTGATGATTTAGTAGACTCTATTCTCTTTAGCTTTATCAGTATTTTCCATTTTAAGCTCTTAAAGATATTAATAATGCGATAAAGGAAAAGCAGTTAAACACATTTTGCATTGATTTCATATACAAAGTCTTTTTAAAGTCTTGAAAAAAAAGGCTCTGGGTAAGTAATCTAACACATTCCATTTTATGGTCCTATATTGCAGTAATTTTTCTTGAAATTTTGCAGAATATTAAATAAATAAATAAAAATTACTGATTATATAGTGTTATGATTCCTGCGATATGTTTTACCTGGCCATTTCCCAGTAGAGAAGTGTCTTCCCCCATCAGAAGATATGAACCGTAAAAGAAAACAAATGCATGACAGAAGCCCAAGATGGTCCAATAAAGAAATGGTTTATAGCCCAGGTGGGCATTTTTACTGATGTCTCTGTGGAAATAAAATGGATATTTTAGATTTCAGACTGTCTTCATAAAACCAGCCAGTGAGCTAGTGATTTTGCATTTACTCAAAATAGCAACAATCATTCATTATTTAATGTAGCTGAGATGCATTTGTGTGTGTCCAAAGAGATAACAATTATTTCAATAATCAATTTGGGGAACCTTGAGACCCCTGATAGTATTAATCTCTGATGCATGCAAGGACCTTTAATTATTTTTATAAGAATGACCAAAAAAAGCCAATGGTATGTAAGAGGTCCAGGTTGGAATGGCTAAGGCTGACATTCCTAAAGAGGAAAGCCCTTGAGGTGGGAGAATTAAGAAAGATAAACCAGATCTCCTGACAACCATACCCTATGACTTTACTATTAAATCTTAGCTAACAGGAAACTTCTTTTAAATTTGTACTTATTTTCTAACTGATACTTGCATGCTGCCATAGCTTTGCTGAAACCCCTAATAAATATAAGTTGTCAATGTCTGCTGACTTTTGTGTTTTACTTTATATATGTATTAAACCCTCCCACCCCTACGCAAAAAAAAAAAAAAAAAAAAATCTGTTGTGATATGCTGTTCTGCTTAAAGGAACTGTAAGTGAGTTTGCTTTTAACTACTGTATATTTTTAGACCTCTTGTATGCAGCTGGGCATTAGAGGCTAATGAGAACAAACCCCATCCACAGCACCACAACTCCATAATGAGTCTGGTGTATATAGGGTGCAGTACCACAGCTTGTCACTTGGAGGACTTCTATTCCTACAACAGAGCACTGTTTTGGTACTTCCTTGTGACTCTGTTGCCCCAACCACTGTCCCATGTCTTCGTTTTGAAAATATGATCTACCTGCACCATGATTGCGTGTGTGTCTGTGGAAAGAAGTACAGGCCGACTATAGAAGAACATGTTCTTTTTCTCAACACGGGGCTGATGTATAAGATGTGGACAGAAACAAAAATATTTTTGACTGATCCGTAATAGTGATAACTGTATTTATTCAATTTCCCCCCCAAAGGCTGTTAATAAATTATATAGAATAACAAAATACTGGGTAAATTGAAGTGGATTCAGTAATTTTAGAACATTAGCAACATAACTCCTGACAGCACCAGTTTATTAGAAAATTTTACTGTTGACATATTCCTCCTCCTGCATTTAGTTAAAAAGGGATTACGTACCGATAGAGCGCTGGCTTGCTCTGTAATACATGCGGGTGCACATGCTGTTCAAAAAGACTGTAGACGAGGACAGGCAGGGAAGTGAAACAAATATTGTACAAAGTCAAGTACACACTGTCATACAGAGTCTGAAAATGGAAACACAGTTAATTATTTTGAGTAGTCTATAAAGAAATAGGCAAAATGACTTATAATAGAAAACATTTAATTAAGCATGGCAACAGCAATTACAAATCCACCTAAATTCACGTAAATGTACACCAATATTGAAAAAAAATCTATAATTATGTATGCATACAGAAAAAGTACTCCACTGCATGTCAAGTCATATACTTATTACTGTTTATACTACAAGTGCTTAGTCACTTTGGTAATGGATTGGGATGCCACTAGACTAGGTGCTATGTAAACACAGACTAGAGCATACAAAGTATGTCCTAGTTTGGATATTGCATTTGTGATCTGTTCTTCTTCCTGGGTATAACATAACATACTAGCATCATTCTTCAGGATCTTCAGTTACGGCAGGCACATCATTGATTTCCTAAATCAGACACGGAAGTAGAGAACTAGAAATCTCTTTTCCCGATTCCAGAGAAATAAAAAATAACTCTGCCTGTCTTGTTTAAACAAAAATTTGTAAAACTAAAAAACAGGAGTATACGTTTGTGAAGCAGGCACTAAATTGAAGCTTAAGTTTACACATAGGCTGGAAACAAACAGCAGAATCAAGGAAACAAGTGTAAAAGTGAAAAGTGGTACCTAGAATCTCGAGGTCTAATGCTATCTTACTTTGTAGAAGTTTGTATTGGCTATGATCTAGATGTTAAGAGATTGCTCGTGATTTTATTAAGAGTAAAAGTTACCGTTGTACTAGAATTGACACTGAAGATACTGCAGAGAAAACAACAGACTTCTCGGCCCAGTTTTCTAAGCTTCACTATTGGTGCATATTTGCACAGAAAGCCACTTTCTGGTAAAAAAGTTACATGGCCCAGAGCTATGAAAAACACTCAGATCCCCAAACTCTGCAATTGTTAATTCAAAAACATGGCTTAGTTTATTAAATTTACATCAGTAAAACAGAAATGACTTTACTGGATGGAAAACCAATGGTCCAGAGATTTAATGAAAATTTACCCTTGATAGGTACCTTGCTTTTGTATTAAAAATGAGGCTGGCTATGCTTATGGTGTTGTTTGTCCACTTGGAGTTGATCATTTCCACAGCACAAAATAGTTTTTCAGTGGCATGAGAAAAATCATGGACCAGAGTTTACAAACACCTTTAAAAAAGTCTAAACGTGAGATGCGTGTAGTAAAAGCACACAGAAAACAACAATAAAAGAAACCACTTTGTGACCCATATCCATTTCCCAGAAATAGCTGCAGCAAATGCATTTAAACACCAGAGCACAGAGTGCTCTGAGGGTGGAATCTGAGTCAAGGGAAGTGGGCTGGGAAGAGTATAATTTATATTCTCTTCATAGTTAAGATGTTTTCTTTAACCTAAATAAAAACTAAACAGCTGAGTTAAAGATGTCAGATTGCAAAGGGGAAAAAGAAAAACAGAATATCCAATATGTTGGCATTACCTATTCACACATGCACTGTGGCCAAGTAGTTGCCACATATAGATACTTATTTCAAAACAAGACATTTTTGAAGTGCCATATTAAGAGACAGATGCTCAAGGAAATGAAAGCACCACGAAATCATTTACTGTGTTTTTGCACGTCTGAAACAGTATTAAATCATGGGCTTATTGAATAACATGCAGTTTACACAAAAAAAATTCCCAAATTCTTGGTTGTCAAAACATATAGCAAAGTTCACGCATAAAATTTCCTACTGTTCTCTAGTAGCGCATCTTTCTTTTACTTGTATAAAGTCACTAATATTAAAAGGTGACTATTCCCCACTTCAAATGAAAATAATGATTTAAAATGAGTTATTTTTCCTCTCTTATGGATGCACACACAAGCACACGCACAGCAAGCACGTGTGTGTGTGTGTGTGTGTGTGTGTGTGTGTGTGTGTGTGTGTGTGTGTGTGTGCGCGTGCGTGTGCTTGTGTAGGTATGCAGCAGGGTTGGAGTGCTGCGTAGCAGTGATGATCCAGGAAACTCCAAGGGCAAAGATTTTTTGTGATATCTTACACTGGACCAAGTTGGGAGAACTGCCGGACAAATTTTCCAGAATCAATTACCCTTCCTCATTGTGGATGATGTCATCCTACACATGTACATCACAAGATGTGGCACATCTCATCCAGGGTACCAAATGCCCTCGTTGACACTATATGGGTGAAATTAGGTAGGAACTATCAGAATGAACTCTAGTAGAAAACACCTCCAAAAAGGAACAGAAATTCTTTACTCTACTGCACAGTAAAAAACTGGACTTAAAACAGACAGCAGGTTTATGGCTCATTACAACTTAACAAATACTGCCAATAATCTCCCTGCACAACACAGGTAATGGTAATAACTACCCCTTCCTGAATAGTCTTGCTCTGCCACCGACTAGGTTGCCTAGTCTACTGCACCTCTTTTGTCTTATAATGGCTTCTGATTACACCTCTTCACCCCTAGTTTATAGCCCCTCTTCATCCCTGCAAGCAGATTGTTTTCAGTGACGTGGAGTCTTCTTTTAGTTCAGCCTCCATTCACCTCTCTCTCAGAGGTGAGGAAGGGCACTTGATGCCCAAAAGCTTCTTCAACAGCTCTCCCAATTCTACAGTTGGTCCAAAAAGATGATAACACAAACATTATTTGCCTCTCTGTGCATAAAGGCTGTGCAAAGCTTCAGTCGCTGATTCGATTTGGCAGATTCGCCCAATTCAGCGGCCAAAATCCAAATCCAATCAGGAGACCCTTTAATCTCTTTGAATCGGAACCCTCTAAATCGATTAGGAGAGATTCGATGATTCGGACAGAGACACAGCTTTAAATGTTTTTTCTACATACCTCAAGATAGCAGGTGGCTCGTGAATGCTGAGATGCTGGGGTGGATGGAGCGTCCCACGGGAGCACCGGGGGGTGTGAGGGGGGGTCCCCAGCACACTTGGCAGCAGACCCAGAAGTGAACCAGAAGCACCAGTCCACTTCTGGGTCTGCCGTGGTGTGCGTGGGGGAACTCCCCCCTGAACCTCCCCCCCAGCTTGGCTACTGGTGCCTCCTGGGTCTGGGGAGGTACCTGGGGTCTCCCTGCAGCTGACTGCTGAGACAGAGTGCCACGTGGAGGGGGAGGGTCCTGCACACTCGGTGGCAGACCCAGAAGTGGACTGGAAGTATTTCCGGTCCACTTCCGGGTTAGCTGCTGAGCACACAGGGGAGGCAGTCACGTGCTCCTGTGGGACGCTGCATCTGCCCCATCATCTCAGCATTCATGAGCTGCACCTGGTACTTCAAGGTATGTAGAAAAACCATTTAAAGCTGTGTCTATGGCCGGATCAGCATCGAACCTTCAGATTCAGATTTGGCCAAATCGAATCAGGACAGTGATCTGAATCAAATCAGTGTCCCCGATTCGGGCCGAATCTGAATCGAATATGGCCCGTTTCGCACACCCCTAACATGCATACCTTTATATTTTTAAAACAGGGCAAAGAAATCACTCTTTTCCTCCCCACAGCTCTAGTGATTTAACACCAAGACATTCTTAAATAAAAGACATCTAGTACTTACTTGTTGTGAAAACAAACAGAAGAACTGATATAAAAACTGTGGTGTAATAAAGCACACATTCTGAAACACAAAAATGAAAGAGATGGTTAGCGATATGCTACAGACTACCCTGCCCTGAAAATAATGACAACTTGTATAAAGCTGATATGAAGAGCAAACTGTTCCATTTTTACTTTACAACGCAAAGTACTAATAAAACATCACCCTATAAACAGGTCTTATTTTTTGCTGGAAACTGATGAACCCACACAGGTTCAGTTTAATCACACCCATATAAGGATTTCTAATAGACCTGGCTGTAGCAACACAAAAGCTGTGCATATAAAGAAACCTTAAGTGAAAGATTTGAGGGGAAATTCTCTATTTTCCCCAGCTTGCTTTTTTCAGCATTTCATGTAGCCATTTCTACTCTTTACCCTTTAGAGGGTAAAATATGGCCCATGGGCTTGATTCAGCCCACCAACTGATTTTATCTGGTCCCTGGGCAGACAGTGGCACTGCTCCTGCTCTGCCTCCCACTCAGCCACCAGCCCCAGCCCAGCTGTGGGGGAGCGTGTGCATGTGTGCGCATGTGACCCCCAACAGCTCACCAAAACTTATTAAGTGCCCCTCCAGCCCATATAACTGCCCACCCCTGCTTTAGAAGCAGTGTCCTCTTTGTGTGGGACCTTCACGAGAGGAGTATGGAAAAAATCTTTCTTGAAAAATATATGCGATTAGAGGAGACTAATATTGGTTCAGCGGTATCAATGCCCAGAGTGAACTTCAGCATAGAAATATTTAATACACTATTTTGTGTTTAAACTTTAAAAACCATCTGAAATAAATTTCACGCAAGGACAAAAATTGCAGTTACTTCAAAGACCTGGGAATAGACTTACCTTATAAAAAAAGTACTGTACAAGGGTTGCTATTCTAATATAGTAAAAGTGGCCATGAACAAAAAGCAACTTTGAGAGGAATTTAAACCGTGCTATTGCATAGTCACTGTTTCTAACAGCTTGTCTTCCTTCTTTACCCATGATTCCTGTAAGATTTGGGAAACAAAAAAAGAAATTAGAGTAAATACTGCAGAAAAGTCAATGGAGTTGTAAGGCACAGCATCATAGTTATAAGCATCCAGTTTTTACAAGTACTTGGCAGCCAATGACTCCCATTTAAACATCTCAATTGTTACTTTTCTTTTGGTGACTACATCTGAAAACCATGAGTGACCGCCTAATTTTTGGCTCAGATTGTGATTGCTGAGCACTTTTTATTGATCTGAAGGGAATCTGCCTGAAAAAGTTTTTTCCATTTTTATTGCTTTGGCAATTCAGTGCTGTAGGGCAACTTCTTAGGTATCTGCAAAGGGGGAAACACAACTAGAAAATAGTAGAGAAGCAGCAATTTAAGAATTCCAGGGTTCCCCGTTCACATGTTTCAAAACAAAGGGCAAAGCAAAGCTATTACATCTGGAATGTAATTCTCCACTGTACAATGACAATGTTGTTAAAGGATACAGATAATGGAGAGCCCAGCAGGTCCTCTCCAAGCGGATTAGGAAAGTGAAAATACTTAGTAAAGAAAGTTTGCTACATTTTTGTCAGTTTGGGAACGAAATGTAGAAATAAAGAGAAATGAGGTGCAAAGCAAGAAAGCCAGGAAACGAGATTTTTGCTTACTTGAAACATGCCTTACAAAAGGCGACATCCATTTTGTATCCAGAAAAAGCTTGTTACAGTTCTTTTTGAACGGCAAGAGCCACCTTTTTAATTCATACAGAATACAAAAGAATGATCTGAAGGGAAAGTAACCGAGCTGCAGAAATGAGTACGGAAACAAGATGTGATTTTTCTGATGCAGCTTTTTGTCTTCCTTTCATTTTTATATATGAACAAGATGATTAGGCATTGCAACAGAGGTGCAATCTAGGAAAGAGATGAAATCACCTCCGAAATGAGCACTTTTTAGATAAGAGGTAGACAAGAACATATATATAGCAGCATTTAGTTGCAGGCAAGTCTAAACCTTAATACCTTTGGCTATTTATATATTGCAGAAATAGATGAGTGAAAAAAATGGACTGAAGTCTTTTTTTTTTTTGGTAAAGCTTTATTCTATTTTTGCAACATAAAACTAAAAGCCATTTTACATTTTTAGACTCTGCAGTAGGTATTGGGCAAAGACCTCTTTCAACAATGCGATTAATAAAAAAGGCACGCAAGAAGAATCATGAAAGATCATGAATTGACAGAGATCACCATTCTAAAGAAAGGAAGGTGAGAGCGCACCAGAGTAAGGATAATAGACTTCAGAAGAGCAGACTTCAGAAAACTCGAGAGAACTTGTGGGAAAGGTCCCTTGGGAAGATAACCTGATGGATAAAGGAGTGCAGGAGAGCTGGCAGTTACCCAGGGAGACTATATTAAATGTACAACAGCAAACTTCCTTGGTGCAAAGATGGAAAGCACGGCAGAAGACCTTTATAGCTGTATCAGCTCTTCAATGATTTGAAAAATCAAAAGGAATAATGCAAAGAAGTAGAAGCAAGGGCAAATAACCAAGGATAAATATAAAGTAGTTCAAGCATGTAGAGATAAAAATCAGAAATATTAAGGCAAAAAATGACTTTCAATTAGCAAGGGCCATAAACATCGAGACACTGAGTTTCTACTCTACTGCATCCAAGAAGAGCACAGAACAACTGCAGGTGCTTCTTCAGCCTGAAGAAGGGTGTTTGTACCCAAAAGCTTGCAAAAAATTTTTCTAACTATTTTAGTGGGTCTACTAAAATATATCAGATTTATCCAAAGAACCTCGCCTGCCTATAAACATTGAGAAATATTTTTATTAATATTTCAGAAATAAGGGGAGAACAAAGTGAACGACAGACCCACTTCTGAATAGGAAGAAAGAGCAAATAATGGATGATGCAATGAAGGCCGACTTCAACGCAGACATTATTCACTCTTCAAAAAAATTGTGGTAAGGGGATAAATACAGAAAGCCTGCACAAAAATAAATTAAAGAATTATTAGCTAGAATATACATGAACAAGTTGGCAAGGCCTGATAACTTCAAGACCAAGGGAGAATTTATCTGAAATAGCCCCTGAACCATTAGCAATTTTCTCCTAGAACTTAAGAGGACAGAGGTGGTCTCAGAAAACTGGAGAAGGACACACAATCCTGAAAACATGAGCCATGAGCAATGGATGAGGGGACTGGGTTTGTTTACACCAGAAGAGAAAAGGGGGGACAAAAATAACCGTCTTCCAGTATGCAAAATGTTCCTAAAGAGACGACAGTGATTAATTCTTCTCCATGGCTATGAGGGGAAAGACAAGAAGAAATTAACTTAATTTGCAGAAAAGAAGATTTAGTGTGAATATCAGATAAAGATTTCTAGCTGTTAAAGTGATGAAACACTAGACTGGGCTTACTATTGGTGGTGTTGAACCTCCTTCACTAGACATTTCTAAGAGCAGGTTAGACAAACCTCTGTTCGGGATGATCTGAGTAGACTCAATCCTGCCTTAGTGTAAGGGGCTGGACTAGAAAATCTCTAGGGGTCCTTTCCAGCCTTCTGTGATTCTTTTACATCAGTATGACTAAATGTACAATTAAATAAAGTTCAATGTACCAGATATGACAGATCTAATGGGAGAACATCAATCACCAACAAAATAAAATCAAGAAAAAATCAGCACAGCATTTTCAAGATGCCTCTACACACACAGCCTATCGTGTATTCAGCTATCGCGGGAGATAATAAAGAACTCTGATTCTGATGTACTGTATAACAGGCCCAAGCTTTTGATATGTAAACTGCTGTCTCAGAAGGCAAGCATTCAATGGTTTAAGGAATTCTGAGACAACGGGCGACTACATTGTTTTAAAAATAATGGAAAGACCGCTGTATTATCATTTGCAGAAGTAAAAATATTGGAAATTCAGCAGTTTGAAAACCACGAGTTGGGACTACCTTTGCAAACATTATAATGCTTCATTGAGAACACCAACTTAGAAAGATACGATTTACATGAATTGAATTCTAAAAAAGGTCAGTTACCGATGCCAACATGTGCTTCTTGTATCATGCTTACATCATTAGCACCATCACCAATGGCTAATGTTATAGGTTTCTCTGGCGATGTTTTTAACAGTCGTACCACCTGGAAAAAAAAGGGAGGAATCCTCTTAATTTATGTATTCAGGCTAGGAAGCGCTGTCACTAATTCCTGAACAGATTTGTTCTTTACCTATAAGCAGATGAAATCACTCATGAATCCTGTGTATCAGCATTTCTGGGCAACAGTATCTCTAGTATGTCATGTTAAGCGGAGCAAATATATAGCTCTGTTGAAAAGGCCTCTTGCTTTTGGCCACAACTGTTAGATTAACATCACAAATACCTGGTAGCAATTACATAGACCATGTGCCCCAAAATACAACAGCTCTTTTACTTCCAGTAGAAATAACCAAACAGCACATTCAGAGAAAGTTACCCTCAGCTTGCTTTCTGCAAAAGGTTTTTTGGAGACTATGAAAACAAACTCGTTCCTTTATCAGAATATATATTGTGTAGGACAGACAGACAAAAACATTATTCATGGAAGGATACTTCAGACAAAACAAAACTGTGTATGATATCGGTCACCCCAAATACCCTTAAGAAAAGTATTTTTTCCAACAAGAAAAAAAAAAGAAAGCCCAGAAAAATTTTCCACACTATTTCACAGGCTAACTGCTAAAAAACTTGAGTTAAAAAAAAAACCCAAACCAAAAACAAACCCACCAGCTGCTATCAAACAAAAAAAAATGGTATTTTATCACACAAAATGCATATGAACAGATTAGGACGAATATACACTCCCTATATCTAGTGAACAAAAAGGGAGTTGAAAATTCACTAAGAAAATATCTTATAGGTTGTAATGTTTCAAGATGAGATTTCAGGATTATGTGGAGTAAAATATATCAAGAAAAAAAATCTTATTTGGTAGACATGGGTAAATTTAACACAAAGCTAATTTCCTCAAATTCAGCTTCTTTGCAAATATCCTTTGACACCATTCTTACCCCAGCATGATGCCTAAAATGGTCCATTACAATATAATTCCCCCCTACAAAACAAAACACAACAAAATGCAAGACAAGAGTGCCTGGAGATGGTACAGCTCAAGAGATGTATTCACAGAAAACTGGTAAAATGTGGCATCAAGAAGGGCCAGAAGTAACCCAAGGATATACATATTTAAAACTCCTGGAGATTTCTGAAAAAAATCTTGACTCAAAACAGGAAATGGAAAAAGCCGGGGAAAATACCTCCCTAGGTCTTTTGGAGCAGCAGTGAGCAAAATGACAGAAATAATACATGGCCTGCACAGCACATTTCTATTTGACATTTTGCACTGGTATGAAGTTAATTTGCAGATTAAACTGTACACTAAGAAAATGGCCCCAAAGTACTTAGAAATAGAAAGCCTGACAGAAAAGGATCGGCAAGATCACTCTTT